TTCTGATTCTTTTTTAATAGTAAGTATTTATTGGCTATGTTTTTTAAATAAATGAATAGATATGTGTACCTTACTGTGATGTGAATGTGTATATGTATATTTAAAAATAAAGAAGTGAAATCTTGATTAAAAATGAAGACAAGTCCAGTAAATGAAAGCTCAGAGACAGAAGGAAAGATAAAATGGAAGGAGTGAAGGAGGAAGGAAGGAGGAAGGAAGGAAGGAAGGAAGGAAGGAAGGAAGGAAGGAAGGAAGGGAAAAAAGAAGAAAGGTTTAAAGAATTAGGATGATTTTGTCTCGAGAAGACAAAGCTAGTTGGACAAGTTATTCAAGTCTGATGCCTTGTTCTGTGTATGGCATATAGTGAGACTCAATATTTGTGTTGAATGGATAACATTAAATTAAGGGAGGTGTATTGACAGAGGCACTACGTAGGTATTCTTAATGCCTGCAAAAGGCTGAATAAGCTCTTTATATTCAGGCAGGAGAGATTTTGGTAAATGTAAGGGAGAACTTCTCAATCAGCAGACTGAACGAAAATAGAGATGGTCTGAAGCAAAGGTTCTGACTGGGAGAGCCTCAGAAGAGAGGAGGCAGCCATGTATCCTAGAGTTTGGACCATCCACTCACCTAGACACCAGCCCAGGTCATCTCCTGGGGTCCCTTCCAGCCCCATCAGTGAATTGAGGGCACAAGTCCTGGTCATGTTCAGGGAATCAGAAAATGGAAAGCACCTGAGAGCCCAACCCTCTCTTTTTATGGAGGAGGAGGCAGACACCTACATCAGTAGGTATTTTGACCCCTGTGCACTAGGCCAGGAATGACAGACAAGAAGCCAGAGCAGCTGAATAAGGGAACATTACCAGGGAGAGTTCTGGAAATCCAAACGTTTAATGTCCCCAACACTATTTGGTCTTCCTGGAACCTCATACTTCCCATCACTGAGCCACTTTCCCCCCAGACCATGCACTCTTCAAACTGCTTTTCTCCATCTACACAAATCCCAAGAGCCCATCTTGAGGGTGAAGCAACATAGGTCACCCAGCTTCATATCCTAGTGTTATCACTTACCAGCCGTGTGACTTTAAACCAGTAAAAATACCTCTGGGCTTTATTTTCTTCAACTGTAAAATGTGGGCAATCATGGTGCCTATTTGCAGAGGTGATTCTGTGGTATAAATAAGATAAGTCATGTGATAGGTTTAACACAGTGCCTGAGACATAGTAAGAATAAGAAATGTTCGGGTATTGTTATCAATCAATCAACGAGTCAAGGGCATTTATTAAATGCTTTATGTGGTGCTAATTACTCTGAAAGACATAAACCAAGGTATCCATGGCCAAAGTCAAGTAGGAAACTTAGAGCAGATGTTCATTCAGTACCAAATAATCCATTCTAAAGTCATGATTCTTTTCTTTGCCTGGGAGAGCACAGTCTCTTTTGGTCTCAGCCCCACAGAGGGAGCACTCCTTTAGGGTAAGACCCTAGGATTGAGCCCTGTGTGAAGACACAAAACTGTTGGTTTCTGTCTTTGAGTGACAATTAGTCTAATTCAGTACTCTGAGAGCCCTTAATTAGTTGAGCACAGTTCCAGCCCATCAGGCCATGCAAAAGCTAACCCAGAGACTACTCAGTAGTACTCCACTAGAAATGCCAGCGAAGCTCAGACAGGAGTGTGGCACTGATGTCCAGCCACACAGCTCTACTCACACCTGACCATCAAAATTCCGGGAGAGATTCTCTGCTTGTTTCCTAAGCACCGAGATGTTAGCCAATAGCTAGAAGGGTAGAATTAAACAGGGACTCCCTGTATACTGCTTATGTCGACATCAATGGGTCTCAAAAGGCAGCAAGGCCCACCCCCTTTTCATTTTTCATTTTGTTGTCATTGTCAATTCACATGCAGTCCTAAGAACTAATACAAAGAAGTTCTGATTCCCTTCTTGCATAACTATTAGTACAGTTTCACAACCAGGAAACTGACAACGATACAACCCACCAATCTTATTCAAATTGCACCATTTTACATGCACTTCGGTGTGTGTGTTTAGTTTTGTGCCATTTTCTCACATGTATAGATTCATGTAAATGCTGATAGTCGAAGTACAGAATAGTTCTTCCCTTCTCCCTCCCTCCCCCTTTTGCTCCCCCTGGCCACCACCCATCTGTTCTCCATCTCCACAATTTTGTCATTTCAAGAATGTTAGATTCATGGCATCATACACCGTGTAACCTTTTGAGATTGGCTTTTCTTTAAAAATTTTTTTAATGTTTATTTATTTTTGAGACAGAGAGAGACAGAGCATGAACAGGGGAGGGTCAGAGAGAGAGGGAGACACAGAATCCGAAGCAGGCTCCAGGCTTTGAGCTGTCAGCACAGAGCCTGACGCGGGGCTCAAACTCACGGACCGTGAGATCATGACCTGAGCCAAAGTCAGACACTTAACCGACTGAGCCACCCAGGCGCCCCTTGAGATTGGCTTTTCTTTCTCAGCATAATTTCTTTGAAATCCATCAAGTTGTTGAGTGTCTCAATAGTTTGTTCTTTTTTGTTGCTAACTAGTATTCTATAACGTGGATGTACCACAGTGTCTTTATCCATTCGCCTATTGAAATATATTTTGGTTGTTTCTAGTTTGGGGCTGTTAGAAATAAGGCTGCTTTGACTGGTTTTTGTGTGAACACATATTTTATTTCTCTGGGATAAGGGCCCAAGAGTGCAATTGCTGGGTATATGGTAAGCATATATGTAGTTTTATGAAAACAAACAAACAAAACTGTTACACTGTTTTCCAGAGAAATAAACATTTCCAGAAAAATGTTTTACCATTTTTTATGTCCCCCGGTAATGTATGAGTGATCCAGTGTCCACTTCTTTGCCAGCATCTGGTGTTGTCACCATTATTTATTTTAACCATTCTGATAGGTGTACAGTGATATCTCATTGTGGTTTTAGTTTGCATTTCCCTGGTAGCTAATGACTTTGAATATCTTTGCATGTGCCTATTTGCCATCTGTATATCCTTCTCAGTGAAATGTCTCATGTTGTCTTTTGTCCCTGTTCTAATTGGGTTGCTTGCTATGTTACTGTTTACTGCTGAGAGCTCTTTATATATTCTAGAAATAAGCCCTTTGTCAGATACATGGTTTGCAAGTATTTTCTTCCAATCTATAGTTTGCCTCTTCATCATCTCCTTCACAGGGTCTTCTGAAGGGCAAACACTTTTCATTTGTGTGGGTCCTAATTTATCAATTTTTCCTTTTCTGGGTCAAGCTGGTATTGTCAAGCCTAAGACCTCTTTGCCCACGCTTAGGTCCTGATGATTTTCTTCTGCATTCTTGTTCTAAAAGCTTATAGTTTTATATCTTACATTTAGGTCTTTGATCCATTTGAGCTAACTTTTATAGAAGATGTTAGATTTCAATCAAGGTTCACCTTTTTGCTTGTGGATATCCGATTGCTCCAACATCAGTTGAGCAATGCTTTTTGGAAAAGCAACTTGGCAATAGTTATCATGAGCCAAAAAAATGCCCATAGCTTTTTTCCTGTCATTTCTGGGAACTCACCCTAAGGAAATAATGCAGACACATGAATAAAAGCTGTAACTTGGAAAACAGTCACTGGAACGTTTTTTGTAAAATTGAAGAATTGGAAGTAGCCTGAATGCCCAAAAATCAGAGATTGCTTAAGGATGGCACACGTGGGGAAAAATATGCAACAATTAAAAATATATTTACTCAATTATCTTTACCCATTCAACAAACATTTACTCAGTACCCATAGTGTTGGTGCCAGGATAACGTGGTAAGCAAATCAGACACCATCTCTCCCTTCTAGAAGCTCACAGCCTGGAAGGGACAATGGAGAAAACAGTTCCAGTGCTTAGAAAAATACATCTGGGAACACCTGGGTGGCTCAGTCAGTTCAGCGTCCGACTTCGGCTCAGGTCATGATCTCACGGTTTGCGAGCTCGAGCCCCACGTGGGGCTCTGCACCAACAGCTCCAAGCCTGCTTGGGATTCTCTCTCTGCCTCTCTCTCTCTCTGTCCCTTCCCCACCTGTGCACATGCACTTTCTCTCTCTCTGTCTCTATCAAAAATTAATAAATAAACATTTTTTTAAAAAAATGAAAAATACATTTGGTATACCAAGGAAAAAAACAGGAAACAAAATTGCACATGGTGAAAAGACAAAAAAAAAATCGTTTTTTTAGGGTGATTGGATCAAGCACAGTTTATTGTCGTCTTTTCCAAACCTCCCGCAGCATTTTTCTTTGCATAATAATAACAATGATAAAGAGAAAGCTCCAGTTGAGAAACAGCTCCTTGCCAGGGAAGGTTGGGAATGTCCATTTGAAGAGGCAACAGGCACACATACAACAATCCAAAGGGCACAAGAGTAACCACCACGGACAGCAAGGTGTTCCAGAGCCCAGCTAAGTCATGCTGGATGATTCAGTCAGTCAACAAGTATCAATGGGGGCATCTGCAAGGTGACCTGTATTACATGAGGCACTCAGAGTACAAGTGCAAGAATAGACAGTCCCTGACTTCTTTGGGCACTCACAAGAAATTCTGATCTCCATCTTCCTCGTGCCTGTTCAGCACTTCACTTTTCCACTTGTGAATCCTTTCAACCAACCTAGACAGTTGTTAAGGAGGGCACACTTATCCCCATTTTTCAGACAACAAGGTGCAGAGCAATTGCCCAAGGTCACACAGATGACACGTGGCAGGGCCGGTGCTAGAGACCTGGCTTTCACCTCTGTGGTCCTCAGAATACCATTACTCAAGAAAGATTGTGTTAACAGTGGGCTCAAAGCATGCAAACAATCAGCAGACAGCCGTAACTAGAATTTAAATCGAGTGGATGAGAAAGCGTATACCTGGGGCAGGGGATGGGCTTCTCCCCCCTGGTGTGCTCAGGGCTCGGGAGGTCAAGGCAGCACGGGGAGTGTCATCTGAACACCTGGGCTCACTTCTCCCCTTTTCTCCCCAGATGGTGAAGGCAATCCAGGTCCTGAGAATTCACCTGCTGGAATTGGAGAAAGTCAATGAACTCTGCAAGGACTTTTGTAACCGCTACATCACCTGCCTCAAAACCAAGATGCACAGTGATAACCTGCTCAGGAATGACCTCGGGGGACCCTACTCCCCCAACCAGCCCTCCATAAACCTTCACTCACAGGTAACACACAGGGCTGGGTCCTAGCTCCTAAGCCAGGTGTAGAAATGTCTGAAGGTCCCCTGGTGGCCTAGGAAAGTGGAGCAGGCTCACTGGATCCTTTCAGCATAAGGGCCCTCCTCTGATCCACTCCTTCTCATCAGCAGTACCAGAACGCACCGTGCCAAGACATTAATATTCCTTAGAGGATAACCAAAGTGATTCCTGGCTTCCTGGCCTGAGATATCCTAAGAAATGTGCCTAAGTGTTGAGATGGAAAGCTTTCCTGGAGGTGAGGCAGGAGCAGAGCCCGCGATGGACTCCAACCTCCTAGCCTCATGCACTTCTCAAGAGGGCTTGCTAAGCTCTCCATGTTCTTGAGAAGGACAGTTTGGGGAAAGTGGTCCTTCCCTGAATCCCGCCCACCTAATAAATGAAGACAGTTTCCCATGCAACTGCTTCTCCCAGATCGTTTTCTAGTTGCTTGTCCTACCCTGACTCCTCTGTCTTCCTAAGGTTCAGGGCCACTGTAAATGTCACTTCAAGTTACCCCCCTCCCAAGAGTCACCTGCCATCCTTCATCCTGGGGACCGGGGATGTGGAAATGGCAGCTATGTGTTGTAGGTGAGAATGGAGTTTTCCCTCCAGGGCAGAATATTTTCCCCAAACCTACGAGCTAAGAAAGCTGCCTGGTGACCACCTTTTCATCAAACTCACTGACATCTACGTAAGCCATAGCTCACCACTTTCTTCCTTTGCCAGTGAGCTCCCGAGTCTAGGACAGACACGTGGAAGGCCCCTGGAGGTTTAGAGTAGCCTATTCTCATGAGACAGTCGGGCTTGGGGGAAAGGATAAGCTTTCTAAGATTAATAGGTGCTGGAAAGAATGCCTAAGAAAGGGGGTGCCATTTTTATCTCTAAGCTTTAAGGGCCAACACACTTAATCCATCCCTCCAGATTGGTAGAGGCAGGGGAAGGGTCGGGGGGGCCTCTAGAAGGTCAGCCACGCCTTGCACATATTGACAACAAGTATTACATTAAACCCACCCCAGAGGGATCTCTGTGGGACTTGACAGTGAGTACTGCATGGGACATGAGGCAAGAAGTTTATTTCCTCTTCCCATTGCTTGAAATCACCAAATCACTTTATTACAGATCTAAAAACAGCCGCCCAGGCTTCTGCTTGCTAATATTCTCTTGAAATAGACTCATTCCTTCAGAGTCTTATTGTACTTTCCCTTATGATCAAAATTAGCAAGAAACTTGCATAAAAGAGGACAATAATTGCTCAACGAGCATCTCGTTTGTAATTTATTAGTTTCTATTATTGTGGGTTACCATGGTGACGCTGCGCAGCCCCGGTGACGGGAGAGATGCAAGATAGGAGCTGAGGAGGCTGTGAGGCCTCACCAAATGGAGATGCACATTTTTATCAGTAATTTTCATGAAAATAATAAGTGAGGAGTTAATGAGATGGAAAGCCATCCTGTGGCTATTGTGAATTTTTTTTAAGTGTTGATCTAATTAGAATGCATCGGTCAGGAAAAGTAATGAGGATTTAGTGCCTCACAGAGATGTGAGGATCATATCAGAAAATTAGCACAAGTCTTTGGAAATAATCAGGTCCTTGGAGAGGCTCTGGATTTCCCCTCCTGGGCTCTCCAAGTCTACCTCGAGCGCTGACATTGGGGGTGTACCAGGGCAGTGGGGGAAAGAAAGGAGGGCCAGGGGGCTTAGCAGCCACAGTGGCCCACTTCAGGTTGGGGTCCTGGGGCTGACAAGTTAGTCTGCAGCAAGCAGGGCCACTGGGGACGTGGAGTTGGCAGAGAAGGATAACATGGGCTCTGGGTGAGCCAGGGCTCAGAGATGCTGCCTGCGAAAGTCAGTCCTCCCGGGAAATCCCAGCATTCGGTGCCTCTGAGCTTTGAGGACGGAGGAGGGAGAACTTTGATTCCCGTCATTGTAAATATCAGATCTCTGCCCGACAGTGAAGCTGGCCCTGGGGTGGCCACTGCAAAAAAGCTTCTGATCTGCTTAGAAAGAGGAACTCAGACAATCTGGCAAAAACAAAGACAGCCAGAAAAAGAAGAAAAGACACTTAGCAAGTGCTTCCGTTTGGAATTTCTCAAACTTGTCCCTTCATTGCCTGTGACTGTCACCACGTACGTAGTTCTGACTTCAGTGGGTAAATAAGATAATTACACACAGGTTGCTGCCCTAGATTCCTACCGGTTCCCCTGTCCTGTCTGGCTAGCCCTCAGCCCTCCACAGGCGCGCACACACACACACACACACACACACACACACACACACTTACCTACACATGCCTCTTAAGCTTCTGTTGCTGGATTTGTTGTCCTAAAGCTCTGTTCTTGTCATTCTCTGAGCTCAAAAGCTTGGATTGTCCTCGGAGGTTTCACATCCTATCGCCTGATATTCAAGGCTCCTTCTAGGTCCCCATTCACCCATGCCTGTTTGTTAGGGTGACGCTTCCACACCTCTGCAGGACCAAACCCAGCCTCTTCTGCAAGGACAATAACAAGGCTGCTCTACCCTGGAGGCCTCTCTAGGTGCCCCATGCAGAAAGCACTTTTCTTGCTCTCAACTAACTGCTGGAGCACCATAAGCCACTTATATGTAAATATCACATGTGACTTTATCTCTGAGTCGCTAGTGTAAGTGTTATTCTCCCCTCCTAGATGACAGACGTGTTTTGGATACAGACAGTATTTTATATACAATTATAACCCATGCCTGGCAGCGGCTAACCCAAAATCTTATGCATGGACGGCCAGTAAACATCTGTTGAAAGAAGTAAGACAAGGAGAAAGAAAGAGACAGATCAAGAGAGGCCAGAGGAAGCCAAAGGAGGGAAGGAGAAATCAGAAGAAAGATAAAGGGGGAAGAAAGACAACTCTGGAGAGTCACATTCAAGAGAAGAGATACAGGAAGGATGAACATCTGCGGCGGGGTGG